CTGAGCGCCCAAGCCACAGAATTGTACGTGACCCGCCGGGCTTTCCCCGTGGTCTCCAAATGGGCCTGGCCCCACACCTGTCACTGGCGCCAGGGACAATTCAGAGGAATGGGTGACTGTAAAAACACATGCAAGGTGGCATTTCAATTCAGCACATCTTAAAACAGAAGGATGCAGCCTCTGAGTTATTTTTAGCACATTATTCATTTGCAATGGTCCCAGCCACCCTCCTTCAGTTAGGATTTGAAAAGCTGTTGGTTTGGAGTTTGTGTGTGTGTGTGTGTGTGTGTTTAATCCTTCCTTCGAAAGATAGATTCCTTCTATGTTAAATTAACCACACACACAAAAAAAAAGGGGGGGGGAAAGGAAGAAAATCCATGGCTCCTTCCTCTGCCGAGTCCCTCCTGGCAAGGACTTTTTATTAAAGCGCCCCTAACCTATTCTTGAGTCAGTGAGATGTAACAATACAGAGTCATTAAAATGCTAATAAGATGAAACCAAATGCACAAATTCAGTAATGCCAGAATGTTCTCCAGGATTCTGAAGGATCTGACTCCTCAGAGCCTGAAGGGATCCCAGGGAACACGGGAACCTGAGCCCCAGGGAGAAGGCCTTAGCCAGACCACGCTTGAAAGCCCGGGAAGTGGCCTCGGCTGGCCACACCCACGCGAAGACTGATCCCGGCGCCCCGGCCGGGACTGACCCTGTGCCCTGCTCGGACCTGGACCTGCGTCTTCCTTTGCTCAGCTGCATGCAGGCGACAAAGCCTGGGCGGCGTCGGCCCTGGAAGCAGCCACCTGGCACTGGCCGAGATCAGCTCCTTCCGCCTCTTTTGATGAGAGCCCCAATCCCACGCACGGGGGCTCCACCCTCACGGGCTCCCAGCCACCCACCCGTCACATCGGTGCCTGGGCCTCAGCATGGGCTTGGGGCCTCGCGATCCAAAGTGCCCACTGCTTAGGGGAGGCATGAGCTGGCTGCAGATGAGGTCCGTCGCACCCATGAAGGAGCTGCCCTTGCTCAGGGTGGGGGGAGCGGTGCAGAAATTAGCATTGTAGGGCATCTGCTTCCAGCCAGCAGCCACACTGGGAGTCCACACGCCGGGCTCTCCGTGGGGCCTCACGGCCGCCTACAAGGCTGATGGGCAGCCCCACTTTGCAGATGAGGCCCAGAGAGTTTGGGCGACTTCTCCAAGGTCGCATAGCTCATTCCACCCCGTCCACTCATAGGGCGGCGGCTCACATGCTCAGGCCAGGCAGCGGGGACATCAGAGTCCCATAGGCTGTAGCTTCAGCCTCACACTGGGATGCAGGCCAGAGGTGGGGTGGGGGGAATGAGAGGACTCCCCAGGGACAGAGTGGGGAACAGAGAGGCAGATCCACTGAGACGCTTCTGAGGGGAGCCATGGGGAGACAGGAGAGGTCTGCTGCACCCTGTGGGTTCCTCCCTGGCTGGGGATCGAACTCCTGCTGCAGGGGCTGCGAATTGCATCATAGCGCTGAGATTTAGCCCCGGTGCCCCCACCACGCCGCCGCTGACTGAGGAAACAGGAACCGGGCAGGGGTGAATCTGCAAGAAGAAAAGCATGGCTCCTGCTGCTGACTCGCGGCCCTGGCAAGCCGCAGCCAGGAGGAGCCACAGCCCAGCTCACTGGCCGGGGCCCGAGGGTGGTGGCCAGCTTCCAGGCCGTGGCTCCCCCCAGGCCTCCAGTGAGAGCACTCTGGATGCATCTTCCAGAGTCCTGCTCAGCACAAAACAGGTGAATGGCTGCTGCCCACGCAGCGCTCTCAGCTCCTGGGAAAGCGACAGAGCGAGGCGGGCCGAGCGGTGACGTGTGACGTGTGGGTTGGCGGGAAGTCTCGGGGCCAGAGCAGCCGGAGTCCGGGTGGGGAGGAAAGGCTTCCGGGGAAGGGTGCTCAAGCCGCGCGGCACAGGCCGCTCGGGGAGCCAGGGCCCGGCTAGCGGGTGCCCCGCTGCAGCTCTGAGGGGGCTTTGGGGGTCCAGCCCCCCCTGCTGGCTCCTGCCCACACCGACCCGCACCGGCGGATGTCGGCAGGGCGTCTGCGTGGCATTTTACAGGCACTTGGGAGTCAGCAAATCCCACCACCCGATCGAGTCCCAGAGCGAGCTCTGCAGCTCTGACGGGAAGACCGAGATGTGCACATCGGGGTGACGGCAGGCACAGGTGTGAGATGAGCTGGGGGGTGGGGGGCTCGCGAGGGGGGCTGGGGAGCCAGCTGTGTGAGTGAGAACAGTAACTGCAGCGCGAGCCTCAGAGAAGCCCAGGATCAGCCACCGACGGGGCAAAGTTCTGGTCTTTGAATAGACTTGGTACCCCCAAGTCTCAGCCTCACACCTGCTTCCCCGGCCCCTCCCTGCACCCCCCACCAGGCCCCCCTAGTATTTACTCACAGATGGTTCTAGATTTCAGTTTCTTTCACGTCCATCTTTGGCTTAAATTCTGCTTGCCCTGAAGCACAGAGAACTCTCACACTGAGGGCGTCTTCCCTGGGCCCTGGCCCGCTCTGAGCACCCGCCCCCGCTGGGGCCCGAGTGGGGCAAGCCCGTCGTGTGGCGGAAATGGGGTCGTGGCCGCCTCGCCGCGCGACACCCGCCCTGGGAGGCAGGGACCGTGTCTGGATTGTTCGGCACACAGTAGGTCCGAAATACAGCGCTACCCCTGCTGAAGGCAGACGGACGACGGCAGCGGGGCAGGGGGCGGGGGCGCTCGGAGATGGCCATGCGTCGTCCACAGTAGTCACCAGAATCGCCAGTAGCCCATTAATCCGTGCCTGCTGCTGTCGTCACAAATATAATTACGGCTAACGACTAGCAGGCCCACGCTGTCAGAGATATAATCATCGGAGCTGTGAGCCCGCCGCAGGTGGCCGGGGACCAGAGGAAACAGCACCTCGGGTTTCCAGAGTCCCTTGTGGTTTGCTAAGCGCTTTGATTCACTCACGACACTTCATTGGAGCGCCGTAAGAGCCCCATGAGGGAGTCCGGCAGGGAGGCGGCACCGTGCCTGACTCAGCCTGGGACTCGAGTTCAAGTCGCAGCTGGGCCGGGGGGCGGGTTGGGCGTGGGGCCCTCGCCTCGCCTGGCCTCAGTTTCCTCGCGCTTCTGTGCAGACAGTGAGGCTCTGGCCTTGAAAAGCGGGCCCTGAGGAGCGAGCGCTGCCATTCCTAAGTGTTGACCGTATACTGGCCCCACGCTAAGCCCTGTGCATGAAATCGTAACACCGATGGGGTGCTCTCCCCACCGCCCCCCTCTTTTTGAAGATGAAACTGGTTTTCATGAAGACGATGAAACTAACTTTAATTTCGCTCCCGCTCAGCGGGGAGGTGGACACCTTCCGGTCAGTCCCTGCCTCGCGCCGCGGCGTCCCTCCCCGAGGCGCCCAGCGCCCGCCCCGCCCGCTCCTCCGGGGACTCCCCGCCAGGGCCCTAGCCCGTGGGTGCCGGCGGTGCCTGCGGAACGGTGCAGGGGCTCGTGCGGCCCGCAGGGCTGGGTGCGGGACCCGCCTGCCCTCTGCCCTGCATTTCGGCGTCCGCCAGGACCCGTCAGGGCGTCTGACGAGCGTTCGCCGGCTTCCCGGGCGTCTGGGTCTGTGCTCAGGCACTGCTGTCATCTTAGCTTCCAATCCGTAAGACCTGTGGGTCCCGGGGTGAAAATAAGCCTCCTGCAGCCCTCCCTCAGCACCCCGACCGCGGCTCGGAGCCCCAGGCCCCAGGTGGAAGCACACTAGACCCGAATGTGGCTTCTCACCTTCGTGGTACGGGGGGGGCAGGGCGACAAGCCACTTACAGATGAGGAAACCGAGCCTCAGAAGGGTCAAAGGACTGGCCCGGGCCCCACAGCGGGACTCTGGACACGCGGATGTGAGCCCAGGTGTCTCTGACCCCAAATACCGCGCCGCTCGCCACCGCCAGCCACTGTCCACCCACCAGCCTCGGCTTTCAGAGCGAAAGGAAGGCGCACGCCTGGGGGCAGGGCAAGGAGCTTCGGCTGGGAGCCAGGAGACCACCTCTCCCCTTGCTGTGTGGCTCAGAACACGTTTCTTACCCTCTCTGGGCTTCAGGGTCCCTGTTGGGAAAATGAAATGTTAAACTATCTCCAGCTTTAAAATTCTGTGCAAGGAGAGGAAAGGATCGTTCAGGGGAGAGAGGGCGAGAGGAGGGGCGGGGGCTGGGAGGGAGCCGCGGGCTCAGCTTCCTCCCACCTCCCCCCACCCCTGCTGCCCTGGCCCGTCCACAGCGGCTGGGTGGGGCTGGTCCCTGTGCCAGGCCCAGCCGAGCTCAGCAGGGGCCCTTTGTCACCCAACGCTTGCCGGGGCCTCGGCCACTGGTGTCGGGTGTCCGGGCGGATTGGGTTCTCTCCTGGCAGCCCCACAGATGCCACCCTCCCGCAGGGGTGGCCGGGCAACAGGGGGCGGCCGGCGCTGCCTTCTCCTCCCGGGCTCCCCAGAGGGACAGGGCGGCTGCTCCAGGTGCCGGATGGTGGGTCCCTCAGGTGAGCGCCCGGTGGCCTGAGCCCAGACAGGGACCGAGCTGTGGATTTATGTTTCATGAATATCCGTGAGTGGCTGCTCTGCCCAGGCTGAGGGTCTGGGCTGGCGGTGGGGCCCGCAGACGGACACAGCCGCGAGCTGCGTCCTCCCCGCCCCGGCCGGTGACCCCGTGGAGAGACCAGGGCCATTAGCGGCCGTAGTAGCATGAGTGGGGGTCTGTGCTGGGGGCCGGGCTGCCCATATGGGGTGCAGGCCGAGAGGCCTGTGTCGGGGGGCTCCGAGCGCCGGTGTTTGTGAGCGGAGGTGAGGGCGCTACCGTGCGTGCCCGGCAGTGTGACCGTGTGTGACGACGGGAAGGCGGCAGGTGTCCGCCAGCGTGTGCGAGTGGGGCCGCCTTGGGCTGGGCGTCCGGGAGCCCCTGAGAGCCTGGGGCAGGTTGTGCCGTGGCTCCCAGGGCCTGACCTTGTCCCCACCCTGTCTCGCCCCACAGGAACGTCCACCCCGACCATGTAGATACCAGCTCCAAAGAGCAGCATGGGCCCCACTGAATGGAGACTCCTGGGTCTGCAGCCCTGAGCCCCTCCGGCCCCTGGACCTCGCCCTGTGCCCGGGGACGCCCTTTCGAGCTCGCCGCTGCTGTCGCCAGCCCACCTCGGCCTCCCCCGCCCCCTAGGACCCGGAGTCGGCTACCGGGAGCCCCAGCCGCGCCCTGAGCCCGTGCGGGCAGCCGCCGCCACACAGCAGCTTCTTGTCCAGCACTGACCCTCGGGCCGCCCCGAGCGGGGACTGTGGCAGACATGGGTGACATGACCAACAGCGACTTCTACTCCAAAAACCAAAGAAACGAGTCGAGCCATGGGGGTGAGTTCGGGTGCACAATGGAGGAGCTGCGCTCCCTCATGGAACTGCGAGGCACCGAGGCCGTGGTCAAGATCAAGGAGACCTACGGGGACACCGACGCCATCTGCCGGCGCCTCAAAACCTCACCCGTGGAAGGTAGGTGCGGGAGGCGTGAGCGGGCGCGGCCGCCTGAGTTGACTGCAGGGTGTGGGCTGAAATGCGGCGCGGCCAGTCTGCGGCTTTCTAGAGGGTCAGCCGCCGGGCCGGGCCGCGGAGAGGCCTCCAGTCCTCCCTTCCCTCGGGCTGGGGCCTGACCGGAGCCACCTGCAGGACCAGAGCGGGGCCAGGGCTGTGCTCTGGAAACCGGGCGGGAAAACCCACCCAGCGGGGCAGCCTCGCCACTGGATGGACTGGTCACCCGCATAGAGATGCCCAGTCTCTGAGGCAGGGGCTGGTGGGGCCAGAAGAGAACCACACCTGCTCGCCTGCCGACGGCTGGGTCAGGCTTCCCACCCATCCGCAACGCCCGGAGAGCGGGGTCCAGTCTCCCAGCTGCCCCCTTCCCCAGCCGGCACCCCCAGGCACCACCCCTGCACCTCTGGCTTGTGCTCCAGTTCTGTGTGCACAAATAGATCAATCTTTTAAATTAAAAAAAGCAGCCCGGGGCATATAACAGATGGGCTCACCTGGGGCTCCCTGAGTCCCCGGGAGCGGGGCTGTGGACCTCGGGTTAGGAACCGCGCCCTCCGCACCGCCCGACCCTGGGGGCCCGGGATGGCCAGCAGAGCGCAGCTCGGGCACCGCAGCATCTGCACACTGCTCAGGAGAGGGAGCCCTGTCCCGCTGTCTGTCCACCCAGCACAGCTGGGCCTGGCACAGAGGAGCGGGAGACGTGCCCGGGAGACCCCGAGGCGCGCTGCTGTGTCCCCAGATCACAGGGAGAACCGTCCCGTGGCTGAACGGCCCACACAGATGATGGGGTCCCCAGTGAGGTGGGCGGGAGAGGCAGTCAGGGAGGGCTGCCTGAAAGAGGAGGCATCCGAACCCAGCCGTGGAGGAAAGGAGATGGGACGCGTGCAGCTTGGCAGCTTTTCTTAGCTACTCCCCGGAGGGCTGGGTGCGGCCGGAGCGAGGCGTGCGGGGGCCCGCGGGGACTCAGTTTACCCCTCCGCCGCGTGGCAAGACCCTACCAGCCCGGCCTCTTGCTCCGCGCCTGTCAGCTGTGTGCACCGTGGGCCTCCCATCTGTCCTCTCTCGGCTTTGGTTTCCTGATTTCTCACGGGGGCCGCGTGAGACCGCTGATGAGGAGGAGCCCCGAGGAGGGTCCCCCGGGAAAGGAGCATCTGGCAGGGTGTGGGCGGGGCTGACAGGCGAGCCCCAGATCCCAGGGTGGGTGAGCCGGCTTCTGCCCCAGCTCCGCCCGCCCCAGCCCCAGGGCCGCCTGCGAGCGCCGCTCGGCGCCCACCTCCTCCCCTGTGAGATGGGGTGATAGCCACGACTAGCTCAGGGTCCAGCCCGCAGCCGGCCTCCGCCTGCCCATCAGCAGATGGGTCACGGGCCGGGAATGGGGTCAGACCAAGGGCCGGTGCGTCCGTGCCCGTGACGTGAGCTCCTGTGGCTCTCGTGGCGGTGGTCACACAGAGCAGCAGCAGTCAGGCCGAAAGGTGGAGCCGACTCTCCCAGACACTGGCCGCTGCCCCCCGGCCTGGCCAGGAAGAGGTGTGGTCAGCCCTGTCACGGCGGGGTCGTGGGGCTCGGGCGGCACAGCAGGGCCGGCAGAGGAGACGGCTCAGCTCCGTCAGGCCCTCGTGGGGTGGCGCCCGGCCCTGGACGGCGCTCCACAGTGCTCCGGACGTGAGGGGAGCCCTCGGCCTGCGCCCCGCCCCGCCTTAGAGCCATGTGGCCGGGGCTGTGTCACTCGGTGGCCGCGACACCCCCCTCTGACGTGAGTCACACTACAGGAAGGCGCTCCAGGCCACGCATAAATTAGCCTTCCCAGCCAAATCCTGCTAATTTTAGGCAAAAAGATCTCAGCAAGTGAGAGTCAAATCCCTGCTGTTGGACAGCCTTGGGGTGACCCGGGCCCCTCAGAGGCCAGGGCAGCCCGGGCCCCACTCGGAAAGGCTTTCCTGTCCCCTCTCCCGGGTCCCGGCCACCCTCCCTCGCCTCCCGCCCTCACTGCTCTCCTGCCACACCCCTCCCGCTGAGCGAAGCGCCCTCAGAGACCCGGGCTCAAGGCCAGACCCCCCGGGGCACCGGGAGCGCTGGGGTCCCCCCTCTGAGGCGCAGAGGCCTCAGTCGTGGAGTGGGGACGTCACAGGATGGCGGAGTGTTGGATCTGATGGCCGCAGGCGGGCAGTCCGCGTGGACGGCAGACCTCCACGCTCAGGAAGGGGCGTTCGTGGCTCTGTTATGACCACGCCCACACATTCCTCTGGGGAGCAGCACAGAGGGGCGGGCCTGCAGGGAAGGAGGCCATCAGGTCAGAGTTAGGGTGCCGTCGGCGGGGGCCGCGGGGGGGCCGCGGTGCCCTCCGGGGCCTGAGCAGTGTGCACTGAGCTGGGTCCTGGGACGGGCGCTGTCCTGGGCGCTGGTGCTGACCCCGGCCCGGCGCGGCCGGGAGCTCAGACACTGCTGGCAGATGGTGGGGGGCGGGGGGGGTGACCTGGGCGCCCTCCAGCTGGTGGAAGGCTGCAGCCTGGACCAGAACAGGGGGTCCCCGCGTCACCCCAGAGCACTGGCTTCCGTTTGAGCCGGTGCACCACCGGACCGACGTGCCCAGGCTCCGCGGGGCAGCCGGGCAGGTCCGCTGGGCGCTCCCCGCCTCGCCTGTTCCGTGGCGGTTGCCAGAGGGGCACGAAGAAGCCGGGGCGCAGCACAGGGTGGGTGGGAACCGGATACTCCGGCGTGTTGTGAAACGGAACCTCCAGTGAATTTTGCATGAGCCCGCGGAGCAGCCGGAGCGGCTGGGGGGACGGGCGTCGGCCACGGGGTGGCCCTGCGCGGGTCGCGTGTGATCCTGGACCGGAAAGCCGCCCCCGCCTTGGGGGGCCCCGTCCCCCTGGTGTGGGGGACCGGTAGCTTCTGTCATTGTGACACGTGCTTTGTGACTTAGGGATCTCGGGTCCTGAGGGTCAACAGGGAAACTGAGGCGGCCACGGCGCAGCGGTGTCCGGGACAGGACGAAGCTGGGGGCGGCTCGGACACGGGCAAGGGGGACTTGCTGCCGGCCACGGGCGCGGGGCTCCGCCTCGGGCAGTGCGTGGCCCTGTGCTCCCCTCCGAGACCCGCATTGGGGCGCCAGGCTGAGGCGGACCCCGGGGTCCGAGAAGGCGGGAGCGTGGCTGCCTTCTCCGTCCGTGCCGGGGGGGGGGGCCGGGAGGGCCGCAGTGTCCATCTCAAACGCAGGAAAAGGGCGTTTCTGAGCGCGCCGCTGGGGTGTCCAGGCCCGGCCTGCGCCCAGGGCCGCCGCTCCTCGCCTCCGCCGCTGTGCTCTGCGGGCTCCGTCCCCCACTCCCGCCCCCCCGGGCAGCCCCACGGGCCGCTAGGGGCAGGTCGGGCCAGTCGGGGCCCTGGCCCGGAGTGCCCAGCGCACCGGCCACTGGCGGACGGGCAGCTCTTGGCTCTGAGCTTGCAGGGCTGTGGGGGGCAGGACCAAGTGCTCCCCTCCGCGCCTCGGTTTCCCGTCTGCGCCCTGGGCAGCACCACACCCGCAGGTGCTCTGGGGAGCAGGGGTACCCGGCTCGTGCGCTCTCTCTGGCCCCGTCAGCATCCGCCGTCGTGACTGTCACCGCCGCCATCGTCACCGTCCCCTTGTGCCCTGCGTGTGGCTTGAGGGACGAGTGGCGTTGAAGCGAGCGGGGAGAAAGGCGGCTGACCTGGCCTTGAGCAGCCGCGCCGCGGGAAGCACGCGTCGCCCAGCGCCCCGACCCGCGCCCAAGCCCCCCAGACGCTGTGGAGTCGGCTGGTCACGTGTGGGCTCAGAGCCCGCCCGCACGGGTCTGACCAGCCATAAAGTGGCCCCACTGCTGATGCCGCCCGTGCGCCCAGCCGGCCACAGGGCCGTGCCTGGCCAGCCGGGGGTGGCCAGAGGGAGAAGCCTGAGCGGCCGCTGACCCAGGGATCCGGGGGGACTCGGGGTCCCGCAAGTGACATGTGTGGGTACAGCCCTGGGCCAGAGGGCCCTGGAGGATAGGAAGGGGGTCGCCGTCGGCAGACAGACCCACGGGCGAAAGGCCGGTGCTCCAGAGCTGCAGCCGCCGGCCTGCTGTGCGCCTCACGCAAGGCCAGGCCCCCCCGGCGGACGCTGCCGATGGCCACAGCCACCCTGAGTGGGAAGCAGGGGCCGGGAGCAGGGGACCGCGATTCCTCCTATCACGGACGTGCCGTAAACTCTCGTCCTACTGGGCGCTCAGACAAGAGAAGGCGCGAGGACGGGCGCTGAGCCCCAGCGCCGCCGTGGGGGGCTGCAGTAAGTCAGCCGCCGAGCCCCAGTGTCCCCCGGAAACGGCCCGGTAACCCCTGCGGCCAGCGACACAGGCGGCCAGCACGGTCCCGTTGCCCTGATGCTGCCGCGCCAGGCGGAGAGGGGCGGAGGCTGCACCCACCCAACAGACGTGCCCTGTGCACCCACTGCGCGCGGGCTTAGGCCGTGCCGCTCTCCTGGGAGAGACACCGGCTGCCCTCGAGGTGTGTGTGAGGCGCTGCCCCGGGGCAGGTGGTGAGGCCGAGACAGGGCCCTTCCCAGGCATTGCCTCTTGGTCCACGGCTGGGACAGGGGTGGGGTGTCAAGCAGGAGGTAACTTGGGGGTCAGACGGGAAACAGGGCTTCAGTCCAAGCAGAGGTGGAAGGAGGAGCCCTCGCGTGGCCTCTCGCCTCAGCTTCCAGAGGTGCAGGGCCGGGTTGCACCCCAGGCCTGAAGGTGCTCCCCTCCGGCCGTCAAGCTGGGGCTCCGGCCTACCTTCACATACCCCCCCGGGACTGGCAGAGGTCGCACCCCAGCTGACAGAGAGGACACAGAGACCTGGGGGTGGCACCGCCTTCGCTGGCCTCTCGGGCTGGACCCCACCGGAGTCACAGGGCGCGCTGGTCTGGAGGACACAGGAGGGAGGCTGACTGGTCCCTCGCGGTCCTGGAGGCCCCTCCCAGCCCCACC